AGGGGTGGATCCAACGAGTTCACTCCTTAGAATGAGTCCACTCCTTAATATCATAGCCACTCATTTTGTCTAGATCAAAATCAATTAAAATATACATTAATTAAATATTTTAACTAATAAAATAATTATTAGTTGACTCTGGCATTGGCCGTTGACTTCCAGCCGTCAATGACTTCCAACATTGACTTTCGGCGAAAATCGTTGACTTCCGGCGTTAACCGTTGGCTTCCAACGTTGACTTCCGGCGAAAATCGTTGACTTCCAGCGTTGACCATTGACCCATTGACCGCTAGTATGCATTATGTATGAAGTAACATGCATACAATACCATGCATTTAATATGAACTAAATATGCATGAGGTATGAATTGCACATGTAGTCCTTATAAACTAAATATGCACCAATAAGATCAACTAAGTATGCACCTGTTATTAACTAAATAAGCATCAGTTATGAACTAAATATGCATCATGAATGAACTAAATATGAAGCGAAAAATATGCAATAAAATGTACATTTTATATAGATAATTTATGATGCATATTTAGTTAATTTATTATGCATATTTAGGTAATTTATGATGCATATTTAGTTAATACGAAATGCATACTTGTTATACTTAAATTAAATATATAATAATGTTTATATAGTTAATTTATGATGCATATTTAGTTAATTCATGATACATATTTAGTTCTTACGAAAATGCATAATTAGTTCATGAAAATCTTATTCATATGCAATCAATTTATATACTATTTGTTTTAACCAACGATCAAATCATAAAACATAATACTATTATCTAACTTATAATGTTAATATTATATACATAAATATAACTTATAATACTCTATGTTAAAATTATACCATTGTCCAACTTATGATTTTAACATTATATGCATATAAATATTATATAATACTTTATTTACATTTTTTGCAAATACCCAGAAGTCGAACACTAGTATATATAGAAGTCGAACAAAAAATTAATGACATTTTCCCACTCTATTTTTCTAAATATGGAAACTGACTGTACACACTATTGTATTAATTAATTGTAATAGTGTTTTTTAACATACTAGTACAGAGTTCGTGCGATGCACGGGGTGCACAATTTTAAGGTCATTTATCCATTCTTATAATTATATAAATGAATAAAAAAAAATGTACGGGATATATATAGTACGTGACCTGTAATAGGCCAAAATGTGAACACGGGTGATGTACGGGGTGCACAATTTTAAGGTCATTTATTAGTACAGAGCCTGTGCGATGCACAGGGTGCACAATTTTCTAGTATGTGTAATAAAAATACATATCGTATGCACGGGACAGAAGCATTA